AACACGCGGCNCCCCCCCTCCGCACCGCAGGTTGCCCCGCAGAATCCCTCCGGCAACTGCCAGTTTTGCCCCCTGTTTTCCCTGCCTTTACCGTCTTTTTTTCTCTCTCCCCCAACTTCGCCTCCGCTGCTTCCCCCGGAGCTGCAAGGGCCGGCCGGGGCCTCAGCCGCGCGGCACCAGAGACGCCGTCCCGCCGTGCGACGGTCCCTCAGCGCCAGCGAGCGCCCACCCCGCGCCCACGCGCCTCCACACAAAGCCGGTACGCCGGCAGCTTGAGGATGCCCTCGAGCAGCGCCGGGTCCGCGACGTACTCGCCGCGTCGCGAACAAACTCCCGCATCGGCACGTTGCGCTCCTCCTCCACGCCTTTGCCGGGGCCAAAGTAACTCCGAATAAAGTCGTTCAGCATCGCCTCTTCCACGTGAACACCTCCCGCCAGCAGCGTGTCCTCCACCGAACTGCCGAGGGCCCACCGCGCGCGCTGACGGCCGCCACCGCACCGCGCCCTCGCCGGAGGCCGCCCCGCCCACAGGACAGACGTGGGGCGCCCCGCAGCAGCGACAACTTCTTCCGCGCGCCTCCCAGATGCTCTTCCCTTGATTTTCTTTTCCTTCTTAGTTGCTGCTGTTGGCTTCCGTTGCAGCTGCAAAATAACAACCACCAACCAAAAGAAGAATGCGAGGGAGGAAGAGACACAAAATAGGCACAGACACACACGCAGCCACACAACGAGAGAGGGGTAAATAGAAGGCCGCCCGCACGGTGCGGGACACACGCACACGCAACAGCAGCCAGTGGCATGGGCACATTCAACCAAAGCACACACAAAGCAAACCCCGTCAAGCGAAGCCGAAGCCTGCGGGGCGCGTCCACCGAGCAGTGGGGACGCGCAGCAACAAATGGGACGAACAGCACACACGCACACACACTTTCTCTGTTCCCGCACAGCCCAGTCCAGGAAAGAAGAAATGGGGAGCAAGAGAGGTCGCCCACTGAAAGTAATGGAAACAAACAAACAATAAAAATGATAAAAACAGTTACGGTGCTGTACCCATGCAGCCAAGCAGGGCGGCAGCGGCTCTTCGGGGGCAAAAACAAAAAATAAACCACGAACCTGCATGAGTGGAGTTGTGTAGATATACGAGCACATTATGTGTTGTCTGCCTCGTGGGGTGAGGCGAGGGGCGAGAGAGTCCGTGCAGTGGGACACACACACACACACAAAGGGCGTGAAAGAAACAAAGAAAGGGCGAGCTGTGTGCGTGTACGGCCCTCCCTCTCTCACTCAGTCCCTCACGCGGCCAGCATCGCAGCGGCAGCCGCACACGCAAGCAGAAGCAGCAGCGCAAGGGGGGAGGCGGAGTGTGCGGCCGCGGCGCTACTGCCGTCGCCGCCAGTTGCATTCGCAGTGTTAGACGCGTTGGGGGTCGGCGCTTGAGCAGCCGCCCCCTCCGCCGGCTGAACAGCTTGTCCTTCGCCGCCGCCACTCATTTCGTTTTCCGGCTTGGAGGTGGGCACTGCGGGCTGCTCCTTTTGTTCTTGCTGGCCAGCCTCGGTTGCCGCCACGGAACTCCCCGGCTGCGGCTGCGCTGCGGGGCCGCTGCCGCTGTCACCGTCAGTCGTAGTCGCCGTGCTCCTTGCATCAGTGGCGGTGGACTCCGCTGTTGCTGCCGGCTCATTTGCTGTGCCCGCCGCTGCACTTGCGGCAGCAACCTCCTGTTGGCCGTCTGGGTTCCCTGCAGCATCGGAATCCGTGGCGCTTTTGGTGCCTTGCAAAAGTCCATTTTTCGAGGCTGTCGGTGAAGCCGCTGCTTCTGGTGTTGCTTGTGTTACTCCCGGGTCACTCTGCGTCTCTCCCTCACGCTGCTGCTGGCTGGGATCAGGAGTGCCTGCCACGTTATTCAGCTGCCCGTCTTCCCCTGCCCTGCTTCCTTCACTGGCGTCAACTGGCGTTAAGTCGTCTTTCTGTGGGGGCGTCCCTGGCGCTTCTCGCTTCGCTGAAGGTGACGGCTTTAAGACTCCCCCCGGCTCTGATGTTTCTGCCACCTTTGGGACTCCCTGCGCCCCCAAAGCTGAGTCTTCTGCCGCATGCTCGCTGTCGTCCCCTGCTGCTGCCTGCTGGCCCTTTTCTTTCTGGCCGGCGGTGTGTCCGTCGCTGCCAGGGCCCGACGGCAGCGCACCGCCACTGTGGCTCCCTCCAGCCCCGCCACCTCCCCCAGCGCCCCGCCCCGAACCCACAGCCCCGTCCTTTTCCTCCGCCTTGGCCATCACCTTCTGCATGAAATCCGCCTTTGTACCGCAGAACTCTTGCAGGAGCTCCTTGTAAGTTTTGCTGGAGTTCACCGCCTTCAAATATGTCCAGTTATCATCATTGCAGTAGTCCATAGTCCACGCCCGGCCCCCGCCGGCGGCGCAGCACAGCACGCAGAGGGCGCACACCAACAGCGCACGGCCAGCCATCGCCACACTCCTCACACCGCAGAGTATAGCGAGGGAGAGAGGGAAAAAAGAAGAGGGAAAGAAACATGCATATAAACACGCACACGCAGGGCCCGCAGAAGCGAAAATAAAAAACTCACAAACACAAGTCACGCACCGCCTTCCCCGCTTTTTTTTAACCCCGCACCGGCGGCGACACGCGGCGCGAGTGCCCGCAGAAACTCCCGTCGCGGTCCCCCACAAATCGCCCAACGCCGGCCCCACTCCCCTCAGCGCAGTGCAGCAGGAGTGCGGCGCAACGCAAAAAACACAAACAAAAACAATAAAATCAAAACAAGGCAAAA